CCCGAGGATCTCCAGCATGATACCCCTCGATGCCAGAACTGCAGTCGTTTCCTATCTTTGGGAACCGTTACCAATGATGGGACTCTTTGTGACATCTGCCGGCAGTACAGCACTTCTGTAGGCGCCACAGGCAAAGGCGGAGCCGAGGCCAGCGACCTGGCGTACCTGCAGGACCTCAACCGTTGGATCAGAGACGACCTGTCCCACAACGACGTTGACCGCCTCATCTCCTATGGGACGCGCGCCTACGTGATGGGACGGCGGTCGAACATCGGCGAGCAGCGTAACAGGTTGAGGCAGATGGCGAAAAAGGCAGAAACGAGGTACAAGAGGAGGTGCGACGCGGGTTCCCCACCTGCGAGTGCGTGCAAGATGCTGGGCGAACCCGATGACGACCGCCCGCTGCACCATCCTTTCCGCAATGTCATCCAGCGTTACCTCAACGAGTCCCGACTCCATCACCAAATGACCGGAGCCCGTGAGGCCATCGGTCAGGCGCCTTGGACCATCGAAGACATGCACACGGCCTGCGGCATTCATGCCCGCAGCCAAGCGCTTGGCTTCCCTGGTCGCAAGAATTGGCGGTTGAATGAGGGCAGGATGGACAGAGGCGCCAGGCAGGAGCGCGGTCTCGTCACGATTGCCGTTCCCCGCGGGGACGGCACTTATGACAAAACCGCGCAGCGTGAGCTTGCCAGACTCGCCTCTGTTGGACCTGCCCTGGGATCGAATGAGCAAGGGGGGAAGGGTTCAGGGGTTAGAACCGATCCTGACATCACCCCCACACACTCACCTACTACACATGCCGCCATGGCGCCGCCGCCTCCGCCGCCGCCTCGCGCTGCCCGCGGCGAAGCTGCTGGAAGCCGCGCCTCTGGCGCGCTGACAGCGGCGCCCGCTGGGCGGAGCGGCGCAGCCGCCGCCCCACAGCCGAGCGGCCGGCAGTCAGCCGACATCAGCGATGGAAGTCGCAGACCTGCGACGCCCCCGCGTGCCAAGCGGGCGCGCACAGCCGCTGATTACGCGACGCGGTGGCGCCAGCACCTTGAGGGCAGTCAGCGGGGCCCAAGGCATTGGAGCTACTACAACGAGTGCTGGATGCACATCGCGGAGAACAACGACGAGTTCGTCTACATCCGCGATCTGCAGCACAATCTGCATTTCCGCGACTGGACCCCAAGGACGCCTTGGGCAACGCACACGACCATTGGAATCGACGGCCACCGCGCGTGGGCCAGTGAGTTCTACATGAGAGGCAATACCTAGATATGTTAGCCGCAAGGCCCACTGCTCGAGCACGCTTGGACTTCTTTGCTCCTTTTCCCGAGTCCTGCCCATGCGGGCGGGATTCGGGACGGGGGGGTGAAATGAACCCGTGTAATACCCTCATATATACTCCTTTCTATCCTGTCTCTTGGCCGTTTGGGCTCAGGCATTGGCATCGATCAGACTGTTGATCGCACAGGAGCACGAGATTCCCATCTTTCCCTCCTTTCCTCTACCTACGGATCAGGGGTTCTGTACCTTTGTACTCCAACCCCATGCACAAAAAATGCCGGCTTTCTGTTGACGCAGGCAGTTCAATTGTCTGCGCTCCTCGAGCTGAGCCCGCCTGACATCTTCTGGCGATTTGGGAGATGCACACAATGATGTTTCACACAGTCGGAAACGGAGGCGTCATTCGTGACAGTGTCGGCCTTCCCCGCGCGGTTGGTTGTGGCAGGTCTTGTAAGGATAGCCAGCCACACGCCGAAACGACGGAGGCGAACAGGACAGGGGGGCTCGAGAAACTGGGCATGCTTAGTCATAGACCAAAGGGTGCGCGACCAGGGTTTGAACGCGGCTGCACATTATTTATCTATTGCAATGATGTGGTTATGTTTGGCAAACTATTAAATTCTGTTGTCAAAGTTGTTCCGGTTCCCCGGTCCGCCGACAAATAAATGTCCCCAGCGCTCCATCACAAACATGTCCAACCAAGTGGTTGTTGGGTCTACGTTTTGAACAGGCAGTCCCCGCGTTCTTGTCCTCCTTTTCCTCCTCCCCCACCCCCTCCATCCTCCCATCCCTGCCTCTCTCTCTCCCCCACCCAGCACAGCGCTTCGTGGCCCCATCGGGAGCTCCACCGAAAGCCCCAGCGCCACCGTCCACATGGGCCCCCCACTCCCATGTCGACCCGCCCCATCACACGCTCCGTGGCCCCATAGGAAGCTGTTCCGAAGGCCCCAGTGCCACCGTCCTCATGCGTCCCCCACACCCATGTCGGCACACCCCTCGCACGCTTCGTGGCCCCGCAGGGAGCTCCACCGAAGGCCCCAGTGCCACAGTCCACATGCGTCCCCTGCACCCATGTCGGCACACGTTTTCACACGCTTCGTGGCCCCATGTGGGAGCTCCACCGAAGCCGCCAGTGCCATCGTCCTCATGCGTCCCCCGCACCAATTTCACCACCACCCACCACACGCTTCGTGGTTCCGTAGGAAGCTCCACCGAAGAGCCCAGTGCCACCGTCCACATGCGTTCCACACACCCACGTCGGCACACCCCTAACACGTTTCGTGGCCCCATAGGGAGCTCGACCGAAGGCCCTAGTGCCACCGTCCACATGCGTCCCCCACTCGCATGTCGACACACCCCTCACACGTTCTGTGGCCCCATAGGGGGGCCCCACCGAAGGCCCCACTGCCGTCCACATGCGTCCCCCACACCAATTTCGGCACACCCTTTACACGTTTCGTGGCCCCATAGGGAGCTCCACCGAAGGCCCCAGTACCACCGTGCACATGCGTCCCTCACACCCATGTCGGCACACCCCTCGCACGCTTCGTGACCCTGCAGGGAGCTCCACCGAAGGCCCCAGTGCCACCGTCCACATGCGACCCCACACCAGTTTCGGCACACCACTCACAGGATTCGTGGCCCCATAGGGAGCGCCACTGAAGAAGATAGTCACACTTGGGATACTCACAAGTGCATCTGGTTGGGTCCTTCACCAGGCGATGTTCCTTCATCTACAAGATCAGGCCTTCCTGAAAGCTCCGTTCCGGTAACTTTCGAACGGGCGGGTCGGGCGGGCGGGACATTAAAGCGGTCGGGCGGGCGGAGTATTTTTCAGACCCTTCATTATTCCATGTTTTACATTTTTTGATACCGCTTTCCGTTTCCAGAATGCTTCGGGGACCGTTAATTGGCGAGTAATCGAAAGTTTGGTGGACTACCAGGCTGCTTACGGGCCTGCGGCATGTCCCGCTGCCAGCCAGGCAGTCTGGGTGGCGGCTGTTCGAGGAGCGCACAAGAAGCCGTAACGTGTGACACCTCGTGCCCCCACCTGAGGCTTCGCACAGCCGTAGCATTTGGCACTCTTCTGTTTAGTGTCGTGGTGTCTCTCCTTGTGTTTCTCGTCGTCTTGTTCCCTTCCTCTTCTTCCCTCCTCTCCTGGGGGCCTCTCCGGGGCCTCTTGGGTGGCGCCTTGGCTTGGAGACACAGGGACGTTTTGGAGCCCTCTCGGGGCCTTTTTGGGCTTTCTTGGCCGTCTTAGGGCTCTCGTGGGCAGCCTTGCGCCTCAGGAGTCCGTTTTGGAAGCTTCTCCGGGCAGATTGGGGTGGGCCTACCTGGGCCCCCGAAGGGTCGGTCGTCTTGTGGATATACTGGGCCGTCTTGGGGCCTCCTTGGGCCGTCACGGAGGCCTCCTGGACCATCTTGAGGGCCTCCAGGGCCATGTTGAGGCCTTCTGGGGGGGCCATCTTGGAGGCCTCTTTGGGCCGCCTTGGGCTGATGAACACCCGAAAAGGTGAGGACGCGAACAGAATGTCTTACAACCCTTAACGGGAACTAATGGTTTAGGTCTCCCAGGGTTCCACTTGAAGCTCTTTTTGGCCGTCTTGGTGATCTCTTGGGTTTTCTTGGAGCCACCGCCCGATGTCTTGAGGCCATTTTGGGTCGTCTTGGAGGCATCTTGGGCCTTCGTCGCCTCCCTGGTGGACTTCCTCGGCCGTCCTGGACGCGTCAGAGAGACGTGGGGAGCGCCAGGGAGGCGTCGGAGGCCCAGAGAGCATTGGAGGGGGAGGGGGGGGGGGCGGTGCACGCAAGTGACCCTGAGAATGTTACAGAACCCCCGACCTGGTATAACTTGGCATTATACCGGGCCTCAGAGTGCCAGGGGACACGGTGTCAGATCACGTTGGACCGATGTTCTAGAATTGCAGCGGCATCTATTCCTGCGAGAGGACAAGTTCGATAGATTTGTATATGTTTGTTGCTGACCAGGGTGTGGCGCGGTCTCTTACGAGTATATTCTTCCAAGATGAAATCGGTTTGTTGTTCGAAAGTGCGCCTCTCGTTAAAATTGAACCAGCTGTGGTGGGCATGATTTCGATTATCAGCAAGATCATTGATTTCACCCTTGTCGAGGGAAGCCAGACCCGCTTCGGCCTGGCATTGAGACGCGTCTGTGGACCTCAGCGCAATGCCTTCTAGAGAAACGACAGATTTGAAAAAGTGGTATATCATCAGGTATTTCCCCAGATGTGTGGATCCTTGGTCTTCTACGCCATCTGCGAGTCCAGCCGCCACATCGAGACCCGAATGAACATGTCGCGTAGATCCAGCTCAGGGCCAAAGTAGGGTGCATCCCAACGCGGCCTGGAGAGCCTCGCATCTCGCGAATTTGTGGATCCAGCAGCTTCGGGGGACATGGGCTACGCACGCAAGCCTCGAGACTGACCTCCGCTGGAATAGTATTTGCACTTCGTGCAGACTGCAACAAACGAGCCATCGGTGCAAGCAGAAGTGGCCACCGTGTGTTTTCATGCCTTTGGAAACTCAAGGAGGACGAGGAGGAGGGCGGGCCGACCCCTCCCACACCTTGTGGATATCAGTGCAGCGCACTGCTCGCACCAGGCAGTCAATCGTAAGAAGCCCTGTCCACCAGGATCGGCGAGTCATAGGGGAAGGCAGAAGTCGCTCAAGTTGCTTCAGATCTTGAGCTTGAGTTTCCGTGGCCAGAAGCCATTTTGGTTCAATGCCCTTCTTGGCAAGGGGTAGTGCATACTGAATTTCGTGCACGCGCATTTGCACTTTCATTGGTGTCCTTGCTTTAGAATGGGGGTGGTGGCGTTGCCCTACGCTTTGCTTGCAGCGGTGGTGGTGTCCGGCATCTCGCAAGCTCCACGGTCATCCGTATGGACCATTGAGCAAAACGCAACCATAAGCCACGAACAGTTTTACAAAACAGCCGCGGAGGGGCGCATGCCGAAAGAGGATGCCGAGAGATTGCTGGGCGGAATCCAGAAAGCCAGCGAGAAGGAGGGCGTGTTCTTAGTGACAGTGCTGGACGGCGGCATGTTGAGCATAGGCGAGAACATGGTTCTTAGTTTGAATGCCGTGCCGTGCGATATTCCTCTTCTTATTGTCGGCCTAGGCGGCAACGTCTGCTCGAGGTTCTTGGAGTTCGGGGGAACTATCTGCGTCGAGGTCCTCAGGGAGTCAGCCCTTTCTCAGGAGGAGGTAAACTGGGGGTCGCACGAATATTGGGAGGTAGTTGCCCGCAAGCATCTAGTGCTGACCTTGGTTTCCGTGAGCAAGATGGCGAGATGGTTTGCGCACACTGATCCAGACATTGTCTATCTGAAGTGCCCGATGGACTACCTTATCAACGTCTCCACTGGAAAGGCCGAGACCATATCCAGAACATTCGACGAGTATGACGTCGTCTTCTCACCGAATAACATGCTTTCTAGCGAGTCCAAGACTGTAGACGACGTAGCAGAGACATACGCGACACGCGGCATGAAGGATGTCTTTGTCGGTCCTAATCAGCGACGCGCCGACATCAACACAGGCCTTTTTGTGATGCGGAATTCGTCCGTAGTGAACGACCTCATGCTGACGACCATGCAAATCCTCAAGGATCAAGAGTTTGTGCACGGTCATTACCAGCAGTATTCTTTGGTCAAGGCGCTGGAACAGCTGCCAGGAGTCCGCGTCGGCGTCGCGGGGAGCGACCGGCTCACGAATGGCAACGTGTTCTGGGGCCACCGCGAGTTGCTCAAGGAGTCGGACGTGATCTCCGTACACGCAAACTGGATGAATTCCACGATGAAGGTCCCGTGCCTGAAGGACGCAGGCTTCTGGATGGACAAGAGCGCCCCGAAGAGGCTCACGTTCCAGCCGCCGACGCCCGGGCGGCCAGAGGGCAGGCTGGACTCCAGGGGCGCCACGATCGAGGTTTGCGGCGCCGACGCCGTGGCGGCCGCGCCTCCCCCCACGCCCAAGCGAGTCGAGGACGTGCCGGCGGTTCCGGCCGCGGTCGGGCTCGTGGCCCCAAGGCCGTCCGAGCCAGGGTGCTACGTCTGGCTACCCAGCGGATGTCCGAACCACAATTTCAACGCCAAGAACATCTGGCGCCAGAGGAAGGAAGTCAACTCCCGCAGCCGGTGCATCATCGAAACGAAGGAGATGTTGGACGCGTGGTGCGGGACCACAGACGCCCGGATGTTGTTCATCGCCCCCCCGCTGCGTACCCCGCCAGCGCCAGAGGCCCCCGGGTGCTACATCTATTTGCCGGGTGGTTGCGATAAGCACGCGCTCAAGACGCCTACCTGGAGGGAGCTCTCATCGAAGGAATTTCCCAACAAGGACACGTGCGAAGAGAAAGCTGCCGTCAAGCTCGACAGTTGGTGCGACGTGGACGATACCGTGGCCTTGTGGGTGGCCGCGCCGCCGCCTCACCCCTGAAAATTAGACCAGTTGAAAGGATCACCCAATGATAGCAAAAACTGACAACTGGATCCACGACGTCTTGGGTGACCAGATGTCGATTGGGGACTCCAGTGTTCGTACGAGCATCGTTGTCTGCAAGCAGACTCGCACGAGAAAGGTCGAGGCCTGTTGCGGTGTCACGAACAGCAAGATGGTGTTCGCTCGGGGGTGCGAGAGGCAACATCAGATGTCTATCAATACGTTTGCCGTCCTTCGCATTTTGAGTCGCTTCCCCCGCCTGGGTGCAATGATCCCGTCGCACCCCTCGCGCGCGGCAGATAGTAATTCACAGGCTGTTTGAGTCGATGCATTCCACATTTGCTTTTGGCGGCTCTGTTTGAAGGTCGCAAGGTAATGAGGGATGTCCAAAAAACTCTTTAGCGTGTGCTGTTCTCTTCTTGTTTGTTGTTGCGTTGAGTTTCGCATCGTGGGCATTGTTGCGCCAGAGGCGGCTCCGAGGAGGAGAGCGAGGATGAATGGAGGATGAGGATGGGTAGCGTGAATGCTGGCAATGGTACAAAGAAGAAGCGCAGAAGAGGAAGAGGGGGACGCGGATGACGAGGAGGAGGAGGAGGACGAGGAGATGGAGGGGAGTAGAAGGACGAGGGCGAGGGCAGGAATGATACAGGGGCAGGATGAAGAGGAGTGGCGCTTTGCATGGTTAAGAGAAAAAACGCATCGGTCAGAGCATGATACAGAAGGTTATGAGGGAAAAGAGTACGATGAGTAAGACAAGGGCGAGGGCGAGGATGACGACCAATAGGAGGATGAGGCAAGCGAAAGGGGAGCAAGAGGAGGGTGGAGAAGGAAGACGAGGAGAATAATACGGATGTGAGCTTAAGTGGGGAAGGATTTGGGGGTCCAAAAACCAGGACACCAAACCGCCAATGCGGGTCTAGGGCCTCCTGGGGCTCCCCCAGCTTTGTCCAGCCAGGCCACGATGATCCCAAGAAGCCTCCAAGACGGTCCAAGATGCTCTCGAGACGGCCCAAGAGCGTTCTAAGACGCCCAAGATGGCTTCAAGGCGGCCCAAGAGGGCTCCAAGAGGATTCCCTGAAGCACCCCAGGAGGCAAACATTACCCATTGTTAGCGCATTCGTTCTTGGATTGGAATACAAGCCCAGACGACCCGCGAGGCTCCCCAAACTGCCCCAAGACGGTTCAAGAGGCCTCCGAGAGGGCCCCCAAGGCGGCCCAAGATACCCCCGAGACGGCCCAAGACCTCCCTAACAAGGCCCAAGAAGGCTCCAAGCGGCCCCCAAGAGGCCCCCAAGAGGACCCAGGTGCCCCTCGACAGGCTACCAGAAAGGCCCCCCAGAGGCCCTTCCAGGAGGCCCCAAACGGCCCCGAAGAGGTCCCACGGATGCACGGACACCCTCAGCGGACACCTCTCAGGCACCTAGTTATCTTGTTGTTTCTTCCTGTCCCACCTTCATCGAAGTATGGAACGCCACAGCGCCACTCTTCCACAAAGTTAGCATGCGTCCCAGGATGGCTCAAAGGCACCCCGGAGACCGCCAGCAGGCTAGCAGACGCCCCCACGAGGCCCTAAGAAGCCCCTAAGACGCCGTCGTCCACAACCTAGGGATGACAGGACTATGCAACGATGATGAGACGGAGGGAGAAGGGCGAAGGGAGGAGAGCCGCCCCAGCCCCAGGTCGGCCCACTTGTTTGTAAATTTGCCCCCCCCGCCCAACCACGCAACCCACTTGGGCCCCAGGAGACAGCGGGCCCTGTCAGGGTTCAGGGGGGCTTTTGGGCATCCAGAGGCTTCCGCGATGGAACGCGAGGGCGGCAAGAAACCGCCCAGGCGGTCCAAGATAGCCCAAGAGAGTCTTAGATGGCCTCAGGACGGCCCGAAAAGACGACAAGGACCGCAAGAGCGCATCCACGAGGGCCAGCGAGAGGGCCTCGAGAGGCCAATAACGCAGATGCTCTCGTTTGATTGTTTTAACGATGTTTGCCTGCTCGATCGTTTAGTTGATGCAGCGCCCAAGACGGCCCAAGAGGCCCCACAAGTCGCACTGAGACGGCCAAAGTCCTAAGGAGCTCAAAGACAACGGACTGCAAGATGCCCCCATAAGGCTTCCACGGGGGCACAAGAGGGCGCCGAGACGGCCCAAGGCAGGCCACATACGGCTAGAACACTTTTTTGATCCGCGGGTCGAGAGCGCACCTCTTCCGGTCGAAGCTAAGCGGACCGCGCGAAGTTTGAATTAGGCAGAGAAGAGGAGGGAGGAAGCGGCGCATACGGCTTGAACGCGCCCCCAGGAGATTTCTAAGACGGCCCAGAGGAGCCCAAGGGGGCCCAAGGACGGCCCCAATATGGCCCCAAGAGATCCCCAAGACGCCCCAAAAGGGGCCCTGGCATACCTCCCAGAAGGTCTCCCCGGCATGCGTCCCAGAGATTTGAAGACGGTTTTAAAATAAGTTGGAGGTTGCCAGGAAGTTCTTCAAGATTGCCCCCAAGAAGGCAAAATCGTCCAACGCGAGGGGACTCACGACAGCCCCACGAGAGACCGACATTTTTAAAGATTGCGCAACCATCGTCCCAGCAGGACTCCGAGGCGGCCCACTAAACAAAAAAGACGCATGATTTCCTTATAGTTTTTTCCTTGGCTACCAAGGAGCCCACCGCGGCCCATGAGGGGCCCCAAATAACCCAAATATGGCCCACGAGATGTCCAAGAGAACCACGCCAGAGGGCGGCTGGACCAGCCCAAGACGGACCAAATGGAATGGAGGCAGGAGGAGGAGGAGGAGGAACAGAAGGAGGGGGAGAAGGAAGAGGAGGAGAAGGCGACAGGATGCAGCGGCAGGCCGAGGAGGAGGGAGGAGAACAAGGAAGAATTGGAGGGGGAAGAGGATGGCAGTAGGAAGGGCGAACAAAAGGAGGAGGACGAGGGAGCGCGAGGAAAGATGGGCGAGGACAAGGGGAGGCCAAGAACCGCGTCACACGCGTTTCATCACAGCGCCATCGGCTGCGTTACAGCCTGAACGCGCGAAGCGCGCGCGAGTGGTGTGCGCACATACATATACAAGTATGTACATAGATTGTGAGTTGACCCGTATCGTCATAGCTCTGTGCGCAATGCTCCCACGGTAGGCCGCGTGAGATCACACAGGGTACAAGTCAAGCAGAGGTGCAGTTCTTGGTGCCCTTTCGGTCTTCACCTCTGTTTTTTTCTTGTTTTCTCTTTCTCCGTACCCATCGGGGTTCAAAGACTTCAGGCGAGCGTGGGCGCTCGCGGCGGATGGCAGGGGCTCAGCATTTGGACTGCAGGGTTGTAGGCAGCGGGGCAGGTCACCCAGCCATGCTTGTTGCGGTGCCCCGCGGCTCCAGCGCGCCCGCCCCTGGCCTGCCCGCAGCCGGCTGCGTGCCCGCAGCCTGTGGCGTGCCCGCCCTGCCCAGCGCGCCACGCTAGCCAGTGCCCAGCGGCACCCAAGGCGGAGCCCTGCAGCCCGCTGAGCCTCGGGGGGGCTGGCCCTCTTCGCGCTGGGTCTGCTCGTCGGGCCGGGGCTCACGGGCGGCATCGCGGCGCTCGCGCTGAGCGCGGGCAGGCTGGGCCGAGACCGCACCGAGCGCGGTGGTGGCCATGGCGGCCAGGGCGGAGACAGTCGAGACGGCGCGGGTGCGAGATCGGGTGGGCACAGCCGCTCTGTACCATCAAAGATTGCTCTCGAGGCGGCTCCAGTCGTCGGATGACGCTTCGGTGATTTTTACCTAACAGCGAAGATTGATAGGTTTCTAGTAGGGTCAAAAGAGAGCGTCATGACTCCCCAGGGGGGTCTGGGCAGGATCCGGACGGGATCCGGACGGGATCCGGGGATTCTTTTTAATCCAACAGTAACACACTTCGTGGTCTTCGAGTTCCCAGAACTCCATTCCTGGGCATGATTTTGAATGCCCGGAGCCAACTGTAGGCCACTTCGTGGCCTTCGAGTTCCCAGAACTCAATTTTGGGGCATGATTTTGAAAGCCCGGAGCCAGCTGTAGGCCACTTCGTGGTCTTCGAGTTCCCAGAACTCCATTCCTAAGCATGATTTTGAATGCCCAGAGCCAACTCTAGGCCATTTCGTGGTCTTCGAGTTCCCAGAATCCACCTTTTGAATGCTGAGGCAGGCTGAGGCTGAGGCTGAGGCAGGCTGAGGCTGAGGCAGGCTGAGGCTGAGGCCGAGGCCAGGCCTGAGGCTGAGGCTGAGGCTGAGGCTGAGGCTGAAGCAGGCTGAGGCTGAGGCTGAGGAGGCTGAGGCTGAGGCTGAGGCTGAGGCTGAGGCTGAGGCTGAGGGCTGAGGCTGCTGAGGCTGAGGCTGAGGCTGAGGCTGAGGCAGAGGCAGGCTGAGGCTGAGGCAGGCTGAGGCTGAGGCTGAGGCAGGCTGAGGCTGAGGCTGAGGCTGATGCAGGCTGAGGCTGAGGCAGGCTGAGGCTGAGGCCGAGGCTGAGGCACTGAGGCTGAGGCTGAAGGCAGGCTGAGGCAGGCAGAGGCAGGCTGAGGCTGAGGCTGAGGCAGGCTGATGCTGAGGCAGGCTGAGGCTGAGGCTGAGGCTGATGCAGGCTGAGGCTGAGGGCTGAGGCTGAGGCTGAGGCTGAGGCTGCAGGCTGAGGCTGAGGCTGCAGGCTGAGGCTGAGGCTGAGGCTGAGGCTGAGGCTGAGGCAGGCTGAGGCTGAGGCTGAGGCTGAGGCTGAAGCAGGCTGAGGCTGAGGCTGAGGCAGGCTGAGGCTGAGGCTGAGGCTGAGGCTGAGGCTGAGGCTGAGGCAGGCAGGCTGAGGCTGAGGCAGGCTGAGGCTGAGGTTGAGGCTCAGGCTGAGGCTGAGGCAGGCGGAGGCCGAGGCCGAGGCTGAAGGCAGACTGATGCTGAGGCTGAAGCAGGCTGAGGCTGAGGCTGAGGCAGGCTGAGGCTGAGGCTGAGGCAGGCTGAAGCTGAGGCAGGCGGAGGCTGAGGCTGAGGCTGAGGCTGAGGCAGGCTGAGGCCGAGGCTGAAGGCAGACTGAGGCTGAGGCTGAAGCAGGCTGAGGTTGAGGCAGGCTGAGGCTGAGGCTGAGGCAGGCTGAGGCTGAGGCAGGCTGAGGCTGAGGCTGAGGCTGATGCAGGGCAAGGCTGAGGCAGGCTGAGGCTGAGGCCGAGGCTGAATGCAGACTGAGGCTGAGGCTGAAGCAGGCTGAGGCTGAGGCTGAAGCAGGCTGAGGCTGAGGCTGAGGCCGAGGCTGCAGGCACACTGAGGCTGAGGCTGAAGCAGGCTGAGGCTGAGGCTGAGGCAGGCTGATGCTGAGGCAAGCTGAGGCTGAGGCTGATGCAGGCTGAGGCTGAGGCAGGCTGAGGCCGACGCCGACGGCAGACTGAGGCTGAGGCTGAGGCTGAGGCTGCGGCAGGCTGAGGCTGAGGCTGAGGCAGGCTGAGGCTGAGGCTGAGGCTGATGCAGGCTCAGGCTGAGGCAGGCTGAGGCCGAGGCCGAGGCTGAAGGCAGACTGAGGC